GCGTCCGTTCTTTAACATATTTTCTTCTAAAGAAATAATTAGTCAAAAAAGGACATAAATGTTTCCTTACGATCAAACAAATATGCTAATCACGCCATTTTTAATTGCCAATACATGTCTCTCGTGTAGATTTATCCTATTATAGTCATGTTATATTTCAATTTGATTTTTTCGGGTATTTTACAAGAAATAAACACCATGTTTTTTTATAGACATGGCACAATAATTTATTTATTTATTTTGGTCAAAGATTATTTTTTTCTCTTAGATCAGGGAAAATAAATATCCCTATGTCATTATAACAAACAAACAGCGATTGTTATCATTCTTCAAAGTTTGAAACTTTTAATCAAAAGTCATTACAGTATTATTGATGAGAATGGGGAGTTTTACACAATAAAAATATATTTAGGGAGGGGGGAGATGAGATGAAATTTATCAGTATTAAAATCTCGTGGTTATAATAAAAAGGTCAAGAGCGAATTGCAAAAGAATTGGTTCAAACAAAAAATTAAGGAAAAATATAATCAAAAACAAAAAAATTTCTTTTTTAACCTAAAACGAAAATTTTTTTGTGAATGGTTCATTAGGTACATCAAATATTTTGATGATTTTTTTTTTAAAAATGATCGTCTATTTGTTGATCTCATGAATTTATAACTCGTGTCATTTTGACATATTTAATTTTTAGATGTTTCTCAAATTCTTTAAGAACATTCGAAAGATATTTTATTTCAAAGGAAATGATTTAGTTGGTTCGATCCTGTTACAAATTAACCAAAGTTGTGGCTTAAAAGCGATTTCTCGCGTATTTTGGCATGGATGTTTTTATTTTTATTTTTTTTCGATTTTCAATCATTTTGATTAAGTTTTTTTTTAGCAAAGGCAAAAAAAAAAAACAATGCATTCGTACCATTCTGTTAACAAAAATAAATAAATAAAATAAAATAAAATAAAAATAACCTTTTTTATTTGGAAAATCCGATCTGGATTATTTATTTGATAAGTTTCCCTTTTAATTTCCTTTTTTAAATAAAACAACTTTTTTGACAAATCATACAACCAATCATAGTATCATCTTTAAAGGGAACAATCTTATTTTTAAGTGATTTGAGGAGACATGCCGTAATTTTTAATAAACAAAGGAGATTAATTAGCGCCTTTCGAAGCAAGCTAATTTAGTTGAGTGGGAGATCCGCCAACGCCCGACTCCATAACAACCCTTCAGTACTTTCGAAAAAGATTAAGATTTTTTTTTTTAATATTGGTGAGAAATTTATTTTCAGAACATTACCCACGCCCAATCGGAAACTGCGGACGAGCCAACAAGATTTTTTACTACGCCGATTGTATTACTTTTGTATTGTTTCCCAAATCCTTTCCTTATTAAGGATGTTTCTTTTTTTACCTGTACATTTCGTCGTCAACTTGTTTTGCGGGAAAGGGTCTCTTTGCTCGGGTAACCCAACCATACGATTGAATTTTTTTTTCTAGGCGGTGTTAAAGTGCCGGGAGTTGGTGCTACTAGTAACAGGATTATTTTTTTTTTTTTTTTTCAAACCTTTTTTTTTTTTTTTTATATATTGTATGTATCAAATTAAAAATCGGAGGATTGTTATATTTATTTTTATCATCGGAATTATGTTTTATTAAAAATTCGTATTTATAATTCTTTTAAATCAAAATAAAATGATAATTTTTTTTTGTTTTTGTTAATCCTTAAATAAATATAGATTTCTGCATATCAATTAGGTAATTCGATACGGAAGTCGGGCATTATCCACTCGAGACTATAAGTGAAAAAAACATTCGGTTTTGTTATTTACTTTTTATTATTTGTAATCTCTCTTTCCAGTCGCTCATATGACCCTTTTTAACTTGAAACTATTTATTGTTTATTTTGATTATGAGGAAGTTTTTCTGAAGTTTTGAAAATAAAATTTTGGTTTCATGCCACCAAAATTTGATCCTGTTTTCGCGCCAAAACAAAATTTTTTTTTTCTAAAATAAAATTTTATAAACCTAAAATAAATCTGGTTTTTGTTGATCATCATCATGTCCGAACCTCATTGGTGTCGCTTAAAAATTTATGTTACCTCATCACCGCCTTTTTGAGAAAAACCCTAACAGATCGGTAAATAGTCATGGAGAATTGTTATTTAGTTGTTTTTCCATTGTTTTCAACATTAGAATTTTCCCTTTACTCGTTGTCAAGAGGGTTTTACAAGGATCTTAAAGGCGTGAATGCAAACCTATGATTATCATCCCGAGAATTCTTTAAAGGAAGGACCTGCCGAAATTTTTATGTTTTCGCATCAATTATTATTTTTATTTTTTTGTGGTGATGACACAACAACCTGCATGATTTACTTTATTTATCGTGGTTGTTAAAAAGCATACTATGAAATTGGTGATTTGAAAGCCACACTCTTTTTTAGCTTTTGCGCTTCTTTCACTCGCCACACTTTTTACAATAATCACATCTATGTTAAGTCAACTATAAAAAAAAAAAAAAAAAAAGATTATATCATTTAACAAGCTTAGGTATGCATATATATTTTTATTATACCGATGTATCTAATATATTCAAATTATCCCACAAATCATGATATTCAATTCACATCAACCCCAAAGGTTCCCATACCTTTTTCTTTTTCTCAAGGGTAACGTGTAACACTGTTTAAATATCGTCACTCATTAGAAAGCACTTGCGTGCGCGTATGTTTTTCGCAACTTTTCTTGTAAAGATTAGACAAAAAAAACTTTATTTTGGATTTGAAGAACAAAGAAGAAATGTATATATATATATGGGGTAAATGATGATGTAAAAAGCAAGAAAAAAAAAAAATCCCATAATTCTAAAATTATCATCTTCGTATGTGTATGTGGTCATTTGGTCCAGTAGTGTGGCTATTTGCGTCGTAAAAAAACAAGTTATTAAGAAGTTATTCTTGCTTTAATAAATAAAAAAAAAATGCGCCTTTTATCCCTTTATTTTACAAATTGTTAAAGCCCGAGTTTGTTATTTATTTATTTTCATCAAAAATTTTTACCGTTAATCTTATATATATAAAAATATATATATATAAAAAAAAAAAAAAAAAAAGATATTGACTGTGTAGCGTTGACTGTATAATCTTCCTCTTTAAGAGAAACTTCGAAATATCTCAAATAAAAAAGAAAAGCCTTTGTGACCGATTAAGATTATACAACAAAGTTATGGTCCATCAAACGAAACCTTTTGAACGGAGAAGGAACAAGAACACGGTCCTTTTGGGAAAAATGATGTTACTCACATACATTGAACTTATCAAATATGTATATTAAATAAAAATAAATGACGATTATATCCTATGTAAGTATAAATAGTTATTCAGTATACGCGAAGTGGATTTTACCAAATTTTTTTTTTTTTTTTCCACAAAAGAAAAACGCAAAGGGTAAAGGATTGTGACGCGAGAAATGTATGTGGCGCGGATATATAGAATAAATTCTATATTTTTTTTTAGAAAAAAAAAAAAAAAAGCAGATGGTTAAAAATGTGCATATATTTAGCGAAGATTACTCTAAAAAATTTTTATTTATACATAAATAAATAGTCTATTCCAAATATATATCAGTAGTCTAAAAAAAAAAATAAATAAATTATTACATGTAACATCTATCTATTCTATTATAATTGTACCACCCCCCAAAAAAAGAGACTTTTTTTTTATGTGTATATTGTATAAAAATATATATTATCTCAATATAATTATTTATATTAATATAAAGCAAATTTCATATATATATATGTATTTTTATTATTAAATAAAAATTATTAATATTTAATTTGAATGCATATATTTTTAAAAATGGTACGTTAAAAAAAAAAAAAATCAATTCACTACTAACTAAGGCTTGACAAAATTTATATAAAATAGCAGCAATCTTTCTTCCCACCCAAATCTGTTTTTTTGTCAACAAAATAAAACTTCACTTCTTTCTCTCGTTCCCTCCAAAATTTAAGAGAAGTCTCCGAAACTTTACTGTGTACGTATTTACTTCTCTTGTATCAAAGAAACGGTTCAAAAAAAAATATATATGTACCAGATATACATATTACTTGACAATAAAGAAAAAAATAAAAAATAATATCGAAAAAAAGTTTTGAACCGTTTTTTTTTTTTTTTAACCAAATAACAATAATAATAATCGAAAACATTTTACTTTCGTCGTTGAATTAATAGGAGCAAGGAAAATCAAAGTTCCTCCTTTTTGAGACCTGTTATTCGAAGAAGATAAAGTTTAGTACAAATAAATTGTGGTAAGTAAACCCTTTTGAACGTTTTTGATTTTGATTTTTTCACTTTTTTCCTTTGGTGCATTATCAGTGGTTCGTCTTATATTCTTTCAAGTCCCTCCTCAACAAGTGGATTTAAATAATCCATTCATTTATACCCTTCAAGTCACCTCTCGTTTTGTCTAAAAACAATCCCCTCACCAAAAGTAGTAACCTTGTTAAATTTATTATTGAGAAAAAATTAATCCACACCCTTAACCCCCACCCCACCCAACCCACATATCATCATATCGTTCATAAGTTATTCCTTTTAATCTCATTACCGGCCTACTTTACTTCTGGATGTGTTGGGCTGATGGCGCGGTTGCATCTGCACTAATCAGATTTTTTGATTTCTTGCAGATCCCCTTTATTTTTATATAGTATACTATAATAATTTATATGTCCTTTAATAACCTTACTACATGCGCTGTAGTGTAGCATAAACAAGTCTTAGAAAAAAAATTCCATCCCTTAAATTTAACATATATAAGACAACCACTTTTTTATGGTCCTCTTCGCAAAAAAAAAAAAAAAAAAATTTTTTTCCCTTTTTTAACAAAAAAAAAATATATTTCAACCAACTAATGCTTTTAAAAATTACCTCTTGCTCCATTTTCTTTTAATCCATCAGAAATTTAGCTTTAACACACGGAATATCAAAAAAAAAAAAAGAATAATGACTGAACTCGAAAGTGCTTCAAATATTGTCGGAATGGCCGAATGGTCTTCCTTACGTATGAATAACGCACCGCGAAATTTTACTTACCCCCCGGCGCAGCAACATCATCATCATCAAGCGCAATCTACTCATCATCAACATCATCAACAACAAGCTGCCCTCCCGATGCATCATCACCCTCAACAGCATCAACAAGCTTCGCCGCAACAGTCTCATTATCAAGCGGCTAGACCTTATTTACCACCTCCACTTGGTAATCACGTCTCAGGACCAAGCAGCAACGTCTCTTCGGGCAATGGTTTATTGAGTTCAAACGTATCTTCTGTGTCATACAACGCTTCATCCGCCAATCAGTACAGCCCGTCGTCAATAAAGACTGAACAGCCTTCTTCGGTCCAATCAAATGTATCTTCTCCAAATGTAACATCGGGTGCTAATGCACAATTGGAACCTTTCAATAACAATAACAGAAAGACGTCAGCAACGACTACCCCTATGACATCACCAACAAAGAATCCCCAAGATCTCGTAGTTGAGACTCATATTCAGGGCAAACCACCGTACTCTTATGCTACCTTGATTACTTATGCGATCACAAATAGTCCCAACAAACAACTCACGTTAAACGAGATTTACAATTGGGTTATGGAAAACTATCCTTACTATAAGACCGCTGGTACTGGATGGAAGGTACGTTCGAGTGGAAGAATATATATGTAATTTTTACGTTTATGGGTTTTGATCAATTTCTTACGAGCCTTTTTTTTTTATTATTTCCTTTTAGAATTCTATTCGACATAATTTATCTTTGAACAAGACCTTTGTTCGTGTACCTCGTCCAATCAATGAACCAGGAAAAGGATCTTACTGGACAGTTGATTTCCGTGCAGCCGAGGCAGAGCAGCAACATCGTTCTCGAAGTCGAAATAACCGATCATCAAGTGATCCAACCCCATATCGATCATCAGATCCATGGAATTCATACGATAATCGTCGTTATAGAACAGAACCAATGACCGCTGTACCTGAAATGAATCGATCGTATTTTGATAGTGTGGTCAACCCATACGGTGTGCAGGGAATGCAACAACCTTATCGTCCAATTCGCTCACCCAGAGGCTACACCCATACAACGATGGGACAGCATTACCTTCCCGCACAAGGGTTAGGAAGTGGAGCAACCGGAATCGCCGGAACACAACCAACCATGTCATATACCGGTGCTGGCATCGGAAATCTCACCGCTGTCACAAATTACGACATTTCAGATTACACGAGCCTTCACAGTCACGCTCACGTAGAGGGACACAACGCCGCCTTCAACAGTTATGGCGCTCATCCAATGTACCAGTCACAAATGACACATCCAGACACCAACACACCGGTGTCTCACACATCTTTTGTTTAAGAGATTTTTAATGATTAGGCGAATGGGATAATTTTTTTTTTCCCCTCGTTTGCCTCAATTTCAAAAACCTTTTTTTTTATTCCCTTTTTCGCTTAGATTTAAAGGGAAAAAAAAAATTTCAGTTGAAAGGTCTCTTGACTTTTTCTTCTTGTACATTAACTATTTTTAAATATAAAATATATATATAGTTTAATAGGAATTAATTAGGGTTTTTTATGCCTCTTATATACACGTTTGTTTATAAACCATCCATATCCATTTTTTTCATGTATGTGGAATTATGTGTTTTTTTATGAATTACAATTTTTTTTTACGCTTTTACGTTTTGTATTTTTTTCTCCTTCTTCACGTGATCGTATACACGTGAATTCATTGTGCGAGTCGCAATGTGTTTTATTTTTTTTTTTTTTTTCATTCTTCTCTTTTTCTATTTTTTTTTTCTCTGGTTTCTTTTTAAAATTATTCTCTGGCATTTTCAAAATTTTATATATTCTGGCAAATCTGAATTTTTTTTACTTATATTACATTTACACTTACACTTATTATTAGTATATTTTTTTGCACCATTGCACCAATTGTTTGATCCTTTTCTCTATATTCTTGAAAAATTAGTTTTATTTTATTTCGTTATAAAACCTTTTTGGTTTTTTTTTTCGATCAGCATTCCATTTTCGTTTTTTATTTTTTTATACATATTTTTTATTACTCTTACTTATTACTATTATTTTAGTTTATTATATATTTTCGAATTTATTTTATTTACAGCTGAGAAAAAAAACCTTTATTGTAATAATTTGTGAATGATGATGGACGTAGTTGTTTATTAAAAAAAAAATCACAATCAAACAACGAACAAAAAAAGAAGATTAGAGTTGATACTTTAAATTTTTTTTTGTTCGTAAATAATTTCTTAATCATTAATAATTATTGTTCAAAGTACCGCTTTTTTTTTTTTTTTTTTTACTTTACAAGTGTTATTATACGTATAATGTCTAATTTCGAATAAAAAAAAAAATGTAAAAAGTTTTAAACAAAGTTTTCGCGTTTAGAAAAAAAAAAAAAATCTCGTTATTATTTTTAAATGTTTATAATGAAAAAAAAAAAGTGTTGACATCACCAGGAAAATGAATCACGAACCTTAAGTGTTTGTCCGACAGTCGATCAAATCAATCCTTCGGATCTACCTACCATTGACCCCACTTTTTTTTTAAAACCCTTTTCTCAACTCCTCATTTTCGGAGTGCAGGGTTACACTTTTTCTCCAGAAAATATTCTTTAAAGTTGGAAAAAATATATTCTAAAAGTATCCTTTCATTAGAGCAATAAATTTCGATGAAATTGGTAAATTTATTCCGTAAAAGAAAATGATTGACGAATGATATGTTCGTCAAGTGCATAAACGAACATAAATTAAAAAAAAGTCCCAATCAAACGATAGATTTCGTGTCACAACAAAAGGGAACGATCATGGGATCAATCACGTTCCCTTGTCTAACCGCTTAAAAACACGCCGCACATGACGAAAGTTCTCAAAACCAGCCAATCAGATTTCCGTCTCGTCTTCCGGTTTCATTTTTATTTTAATGAATGAATAGAATGATAGAATGTGTATGGTCTTTGGAGAGTAAGGAGAATATGAATGAAACTCCTCATTAAGTTTCCAATGTAAATTTTTTTTTTTTAGAGGGTATTTTATTATTATTATTTTTTTTTTTTAGCTTACCCTATTACGAAACTAAAACTTGTAAACAATCGATCGTCAATTATATGTGTGTAAATAAACATTAAAAATTAACCCTATTTATTTCAAAAAAAAAAAAAAATGTAGAAGTTTCGATCAAATTTTTGATTTATTATAGTTTAGTCAATATTATTTCATAATTCATTACAAATCAAAGGAGAATTTAAAGTAAAGAATAGGGACAACAACAAAAACCTATTATTTTTTTATAACATTAGACAATCATTTGGCGTCTATATCATAAAAAAGGCTTGGACAAGTTCTTTTGACTTATCTTTTTTTATGGATATGGTTGTATTAAAAAAAAAAAAAAAAATACAAGATAAAAAAAAAAAAAAACACGCCAAGATACATGAGGTTAATTAATTCATTTTTGGTCTTTAATTGATATAAATGATGATTTGGAAAAAATTTTTTAGTTCGTGTAAACATTAAACAAAGCCTTTTCTAACAAAATAAAAATAAATAAAAAAAAAATAAATAAATAAATAATCGATTAACTAGAACAAATTTATTAATGGATTATTTAAACTATTGATCAAAAAAAAAAAATGAATAAACAATAAAAGATTTTTTTTTTCTTTTTTAAAGTTTTTTTATTAATTTATCGTCATTTTTTTTTTATTTTTGTTTTTCTCAAACAAATACAACAAAAAAAAAAAGGAGTGAAGATCTTTTTGTAAACATTAATACCCAGAAGGAAGAATCTTTTTTTTTTTTTTTTTTTTCTTTTTCTTTTTGAGTTACTATTTGTTCGTGATACTGTAATACAAAAGATATAATGATGTGGTTTTTCAACTCTCGTCTGTGACCCCATTAAGGTGTGTGTAATCTACCACCCAGCCGAGTTACCAGTTGATACCATATAAATTCATATTTCTTTTCGAAAGATTAAAGTTTTGGTTAATACGTTTAAATTACAAAGGCTTCCTTTGTTTTTTTTTTTTGCTTACACAAGTTTTTAAACAACGAAGTATTCTGTTTCAAATTTATTGTAAATAATTTCACCAATGATCAAATCCAGTCTGGCAAAAAAAAAGATTACGCCCAAAGTTCTTAAAATTCTAACGAAAGCAAAAAAAATTATTCTCGATCCCCAACAAATGGTCCAGCCAAAATTTCAAATCATCATAAATTAGGAATTGGTTTCGTAATGTTTTTTACTTTATTTCAAACAGGAGTTAAGAACAAAGACCATAAAACAACACGTAAATAAAAAAAAACTTAAATAACAAGTTTAGAAAGAGTCATTCATTGTATCTTTAGACTTTACTTTTATTGTTGAAGTTGATATTATTATTTATTACTTTACAATAACACAATCAACAGATTTGTCGAATTTAAAGATGTTAGGTTTCGCGAAATCCTTGATGTAAAAGGTTTAGATGAATATAGTGTTTTGAGAATAAAGAGATTCGGAAAAACTCATTGTGTAATGGTAAATATTAGTACCGATTTAATTAGAATACAAAATCAATGAAATTAAAATGTAAAATAATAAGCATCTTTTGAGGGTAAAGATGGGAAAAAAAAAACCTGAACAAGCAACGCTTTACCATAAGGTATTGTAACCTAAATTAGGTTTAACGCCCCATATAATAGTTGACTATACAAAGTTAAGACCAATCTCTCTTATATGCATTCTCCATATAATGCATGATTTCGATATTCGTTTCATAGTCAATTAATCCAAGGCGATAGTGGTTTTTTTTTGCATAGAAAAAGCACGGACTTTTCATCAGATTCCTTGGCTTATGTAAGTGATTTTTCATTTATTTTCATTTGATTTTCATTGATTTTACTAAGCTTAAAAAATCATAATAGGCAATGTAACTCCCGGAGAAAGTTTTTTTTTTTTTCTTTTTTTTTCATTGAGGATATGGATGTAACGAGATACATATTCTTGATTTCATTCTTGTTTAATATCATACATGTATTATCATTTGATAAACAGGTATTTCGTCTTGTTTCATACATATCGTACCATTTTTTTAGAATTATTCTTTTTACCCAGTTATTTTTTTCTAGTATAAAATTCATTATTTGCTACGCGATACCTTTTTTCTATTTATTTATTTATTTTTTTATAAACAATAATAAATAATAATACAACAAATGTATTATATCCATCAATGAATATTTTGTTATCAATCGGATATACCTATACCCATGGAAGTTTACTGCCATACGCAAATATTGATATTCGCCGACAGCTGTCAAAAATAGTTTTTATTTTTTTTGCAACTCTTGGCAAATCTAAATTTAAAGGGATTGACTAAATAAAAAATTAATGGATATAGCCTTTTGTAGTATTCAAATCCGAATAATATCATTCCTCCCTTAATCTGAATACCTTCATTACTAGTTTTTACTAGTTATTGTTTAGTAAATACAAAATTTTGCATAACGTCATGCAAATCAAGAATAATAATTGAATGAAATTTTTTTTTAATAATAGTAATAATAAAATATTACGTGCCCGTTATATACTAAAATTCGATTTTTTCTGGAAACGTTTAACCTCTAATAGAATTAATAGAATTGCCATTATTAAACTTTACATTCACTTCAATGCCAAGAAAACCTTCTTGTTTCATATTGCTCAGAATCGAATGCTTGTAAGAAAAGTGATGACTAAATTCGAAAATCAACCCGACAATTAAAACAAAAAAAATTGCATACAATTTAAGATTTAATATTAACCGGTTCTATGGATAATTGAATCAAAAGTGTATGATTCATAAATTGTTTTTTATCAATTACGATAATGATGTGTAAAATCAAAATGAGGTTATACAATCCAAAATTAAAGTTTGGAACACTAAAAATTTAAAAAGATATTTAACATATAATTATTTTTTTTTACAAAAATTGTTATATCTACTATAATCATACTTTCAAAATTATAAAGTTCGATAAAAAAAAATATATATATTGCTACTTTAATTTATTATAATATTTTTTTTTCAAACTTTATTCACCAGATTTTTCATTCTTGACTCATCCATCCATCATCCTTTTGGATGCATCAACACAATCATTCCAAAAGTTAAAATATTCTATGATTTATATAATTGAATTAGAATGGACTAGAAAGACTATATGATACAGTGTTAATTTTGGTATCTGGAGGCTAAAATAAAACATTAAATTATTAAAATAGCAAAACTATATAAAACTTTAAAATCAAGAAATTAAAAAGTCATTTGACTTAATTTACTTAATTAAATATATATTATTAATTTTAATAAAAGTTTAA